CCCCCCCGCCGCCGCCACCGCCGCCGCCCATAGAGTTGGCGTAGGTGGGAGTAGCTGCTGCATCATCGCGTAGCGCGCGCCACACCCATCAGATATTACGCCGCATATTTGACATAAACACACATACATTGCGTGCGCTTATCCAAGCTACGCACGCGGGACCCACCATGAAACCCAAAGCTGTTGTATGCGTATGCCCTTCAGTGAAAGAAACGAGCAGGGAACAGCGTGTGCACTTGATTAAGAACACATCAAGTAGCCAACCTAACCAAACCCCCATCAGCCTGTCGCGACTGTTTTGTGCTGTTCAGTGGATGGCATGAAAGGGGGGTGTCGTTTAAAAAAGGTGCAATCTAGCATGAAAATAAAAGAATCGTGAATGTTTTTTTGCCCGGGAACTCCCTTCTGTCTGCTGTTCAGGAAAAGGGGCAGAAGGCGGCTCGGTTCGGGCGGGCGGTCCTCGGCATCCTTCTCCTGCAGGACATCGCGGTCGTGCCTCTGCTCGTGCTCCTCCCCATCATCGAGACGCAGGGGGGCACCGACACGGCGCTTTCGGAGCAGCTGCTGCTTGTTGGCCTGACGGTGGCCAAGGGGGTTGGCGGCCTGGGCGGCATCCTGGTGGCCGGGCGGTTCCTCCTCCGGCCCTTGTTTGACGTGGTGGCGGGTGAGAGAGNGGGGGGTAGGGAGGGGTAGTCATGTTTTGCATGCCTTAGCGGTTAGACCATTCACCACGCGTGCTCGAGAGGACGGAGCACGATGTAAACGCATGCCTTTGTCGTTAGACAATTGGCCTCGCTCTGCCCACACGCGGAACTCAACTCAATTAAACTAGATTTGACGGATACATTTGACTGACATTGACCACAACGCGATATGGGGGTCAGGCGCCAGGAGCTCGGAAACCTTCGTCGCTCTCTGTCTCCTCGTGGCGCTCGGAATGGGCCAGCTGACGGAGGCGATCGGGCTTAGCACCACCCTGGGGGCCTTCGCCGCAGGCACCCTGCTCGCGGAGACCAACTACCGCACCCAGGTGGAGGCCAACATCGCTCCCTTCAGGGGGCTGCTGCTGGGGCTCTTCTTCACAACCACAGGGTGAGCCTCAGTACCGTAGGTGACGCAAGATATCACACCCCCTGGACCGATCTCAAAGCTCGATTGTTCCACAACAGTGGTTTGCCTTGTGGCGAATCGGTCACTCGACCGTCCTTGACCAGCGCGGTCTTGGGCAGGCGTGTTGGTGTTCACATGTCGGGGTTCGATATTTGATAAATTTAGTGTCCCCCCCTTTGCGTCGAGAGGTTGCCGAGAATTGTATGGGAGGCGAAGTGGGCCAACAAAAAGAGGGGTAGACAACCCACGAAATGGGTCAAGGTTGTAGAGGACGCATGGAAGGGGCTCGACATCGACGAAGATGAAACGCTGGAAACGGAGGGTCTAAAGGGGTTCAAGGAGAAGATATCTGTTGCTTGTGCCGAGAGACAACATAATCAAAAGAAAGAAACCAAGGATAAGGAGGGTCTAGAAGTGTACGGAATGTCGAAGGAAGGAATAGGGTTCAAGGAATACCTACATGGACCAATGGATGCAGGAACAAAGCTTAAGGTCAAAATTCAGGACCGGGGACATAGGCCTTCGAGGACGTCGACTAAGACATAGGACGGTAGACGACGAAGACGACGAGTTCAAATGTGATTGCGGCTTCGAATGCGAAGACCGTGTTCATGTAGTCGCGGAATGTCCGTGGTACAAGAAGGAGAGGGAAGTGTATTACTGAGCTGGGGAAAATAGATGGGACGTACAGGGAGATATTTGAGGCGTGGAATAGAGAGGAACGGACGGTAGCTGTACTGGGGCATAGGAGGTGGGTTGAAAAGGCGGGAAGGGATATCGTTAGGATAGACAGACTAGGGACTNGGGAACAATGCTCCGTCCTCTCGAGGACGCGTAGTCAATGGTCTAACCGCTAAGGCATGCAAAACATAAGAGTAACCCCCCCCCGTTTGCGTCGCCTCTTTTGTCAGCTGCAAACCCGCCTGGGAGGTTGATACCGAGACTGGAAAAGAAAGTGTCCAACAAACAAACAAACACACAAATTTAGCCGCCAACGGACGTTCTTTTGGAATTTGCATGTTTCGCTGTGTCTTCTTGAAATCTGCCGCGTTCCCCCATTGACTCGTGGGAACAATCCTAATCCTCCGTCCTCTTCAGGACGCGTAGTCTAACAGCTTAGGCATGCGAAACATTTAGTACGCGCCCCTGCCCCCAACTCGCATGTGCCCTAAGCCAAAAAAACTGTCATCCCTTCGCTCCCAGCGCAACGGTGGACCCCCAGTTGTTGGTCGAGCAGTGGCCGACGGTGACTGGACTGCTGTTGGGTCTGGTGACCTTTAAGAGCATCATCATTTCTTCCGCCAGCCTCGGGTTCGGCCTGTCCGCCCCGGAGGCGGCGAAGACGGGGCTCATACTCTCAGGAGGTATGCAGATGGTTCGAGGGGGGGGGGGGTTACTCTTATGTTTTGCATGCCTTAGCGGTTAGACCATTGACCACGCGTCCTCGAGAGGACGGAGCATTGTTCCC